CCCCAAAACCCCAAAACCCCAAAACCCCAAAACCCCAAAACCCCATTATTTTCAGAGATGCTGAATAATTTAAATTTATCTGTTAAGAAATGTTCTGAGCATTTGAGCAATACCTTGACCAAGAGTATACCGAAAACCCCTTTTATGAAATGAACCTACAGCCTGAGCATAAAAATACTCCTACAAAGGTAGAACCTAAACATCGAATCAAAGGATTTTCACCTCAAGAAATCGAAACTGAGCTCCAAATGACAAGTAAGTCCCTAAACCTTCATTTACTTATTTTCAATAGATATCCGCACCTCAACACCTCCTAAAGCAGAAGAAAATGTCTTAAAGACTCCTAAAACACCTGAAGAATTACCAAATACTCCTCTAAAAAATCACAATAATCTCCAGCAGTCAAACCAAATTATTAAAAATAAAGGTAAAATCTCCAAAAATAGTTATAGATCTGAACAATTTAGAAGACGATTTCAGCTTCAAAGCTGATTTCATAGAGACCCAAGAAGACCTAGACATGTCTTCTATCAGGAAGCATAGCCCTATCACTCGTCTAGAGAAAACCCCTAGGGCAATTATTCATGAAATATCTCAACAAGATCCTGTCGATCACCAGACGCCGAAGAAGAAGGCTAAAGCAAAGAAGAAAAAGAGGAATAATTTAAAATATTTAAATAATTTTCAAAACTGGCAAAAACAAAAGTATTAACCCTCAGTCATCTTTAGAGATCTCAAACTAGATATTGCCAGGAAGTACAACAGAATGAAGGAAATGGAGGAAATCAAACCTTTCAGATGTAAAAGCACGAATAAGCTTCCTCTGGGATATGTTAACCCTATTGAAAAACTAAAACTTGATAGAGATAAGAAACTCTCGAATAAAAGGCTTGTGAATAAACCACCAATCGGCAAGCCAGAGATTAATAAATAAGTCAAGAAGACTTGCTAAAAAGATACATCCAAATGGAACTAAAATATGGGAGAGAATGTATTCATATAGTCAAAAAAATCTTCATTCGAATTTATCCTTCAATCTGAGTAAGGATAGCTCTGAAAACAACATACTCCAATTCACAAAGCCCAGCAGAAACAATTCTCACAGTAGAAATAGAAAAGAAAAGCTCCAAGGAGCGTGAAACAGGCTCTACAATCAAGCCTTAAAGCATCACAAATACATTGATGAAAAGATGAAAGAGAAAGGAACTCAAAATGTCAGATTTGTCAACAAGAGTTCAGATCGAATAGTTGGCAAAATGGCTACTCGAAAGCCACTCTACTTTGTTCCAGAGGTGAAAGAAAACTCTAATAATATTCCTGGTAAGCAATAAAACATCTATTTGACTATTATTATACTTACTATAGATTTGCCAGTAAAAGATCTCAAGAACTTACCTCTCCCAAGCAGTAAGTAAAGTGCATAAAGAATTTAGATGAATTCATGGATCGTAACTATAACATTCATCTCAGAAAACTTAAGGAAATGCAAGAAATAGAAGAGAATAAACTGACAGAACTTTACTCTGAGACTGGATTCATCCCGATAATAGACAAAAAGTCCAAACTCATCACTGAAGACAGAGAAGCCAACTCACAAGATATTCACAAATCTCTTTATGAAGACTATAAATACAAAAGAGACAAACAAAAAGCTATGGAGGCAGATAAATCTAAGAGATTGAATGAAGAAGAGTCTATCCAAACGACATTCCATCCTTCAATAACCCACTATAACCAAGAGGAACACTATAAATATGTTGATCCTAAGAAATATCTTCATTTGGAGAGGGACAAAAGCTACACTGAGATATACCACAGGGAGAAAATGATAGAGAGCAAATCAATGCATACCCTTCAACCAAGTCTTTCTCACCAAAAGTAAGATTCCATCAATTCAGATTGTTAAATTGATGTAGGCTCCACAACCAAATCAAAGGATTAGGCAATCAAGAGTAAGTGACCCTTTGCAGCTTGACACATTATGAATGCCTAACTTGTTAAAATATTATCAAACCTTCCTCACTCTTTCATAGCCAAATTGGTTCCAGGTGCAATCTCAAGGGCTGCTTTAGTAAAGAAAACCTTGACATTAATGAACACCCTCCTTCATCTCAGATTGATGACGGCTCTTCAGCTCAGTCTCTTATCATTAACGAATCCAAAAGCAGCAACCAGACATCCTTCCCATCCACGACTCCCTTCCACCCCCAAACTCTCTTTCCCTCCCCTCTAAAAGACTCCTCACACTACCAAATTCCATCTCCTGAATACAACAGTAGACAAGAATACTCACAATTTTTCGACAGTCTTCAGAAAATGAGAGATAATAAAAATGCTAAGCCTAGTAATGAAGTAGATGAAAATAAAAATGATGGAGGGAAGTGTATAATTAACCCACCTCACCCCAACCAGTAACCCCTTTTCATAACCAAAATAGACCCAAAGCCAGCTCCATACAGGCCACGGAAGCCCAAGCCCAAGACAAAGAGAACAACCAGTTAGATCACGCCCCTGAAATCATCCAGTCAATCGTACAAATGGAAGACAACTTTGTATCCTTCCTAGACCATACTTATGAATAGATCATTGTCAAAGAGGGTTTAGGGCTCTGACTATTTAGGTTCCGTATTATTTTAGCAACCTTACTCGGATTCTCAATGGAGAGGTAAATGCTCTGGTGAAGTAAGATAATATGAAGGGTAGAATACTGACCTCTGGTAGTTAACATTTTAACTGTTTGTTTTGAGATTATCAGTCGGAATTTAAATGTATACTTTTCTTAAATTATTCAGAGTTCATTCTTATAGCCAATAGTAGGGGTTTTGGGGTTTTGGGGTTTTGGGG